GGTGCTCCTGTAGGAGACGGCACAGGGACACATGTATGACCTTAACCTTAGCAACAGGTCCAACATTCCTTCAAACCAAAGATCAGAAGTATATGGAAATATGTCTTTGCATACAGTATCATGAGTCTACAAAAGCGTGATGATGATAATACATAAGATTCAAATGACAGACTTTGCACTAGTATTGTCAAAAGCCCTCATCCTAAAATCTCAAACATTATTCTAAAAAGTCAGGAGCATATGACAAGACTTTGAAGTAAGAATATTTAGCACAGACTCTGAAAGTAGCGTAGGTATGAAATAAAATGACATATATGATAGAAAATACAAAATAATATGCAAGTACAAAAGACTATACATACTCATCATTATAAGCCAGTGTGTCCTGGGATAATACAGGCACTGCAGCTGTGTTAAGGAGAGTAATCTTCAAGGAGGCATTCTGAAACTACAAAGTGTCTCAGCAATTATAAGATAATTGATTTTGGAATTAGAAATTACGTACTGTAAGAAGTTCTTAAGATTCAATCTTGACACAGATTATCAACAAGATTTCAACACACTGTAAATATGTAGGACATGGAAGCTGTAGTTAATACTCTGAACATCAGTCTCTGACTGAAAGATGAAACAAAATCTGAGGTCTTGTTCAAATGCAGAAATGAATGGGAAAACAAGCATTGGGGTCTCCTATGTAACCATACATGCCAGGCTTTGTGAGGCCCCCGCTTCTTAGACTGTGGAATTAGTGAATCTGTGGTGTGGGGGGAGGGGCCATAAGTTTGATAATGGTAAAAGGCTTCTGAACACCTGATAACTCACAGTGGAGCACAGGCATTTCTGGCAATAATTGGCCAAGTGACATCTCATGACATCATTGTGACCATGTTGCTGAGCACAGAAAAGGCATGCTTAGTACTCCACTTGTCTTTTTTTGCTTCAGGCAACAAAATATTTCAAATGCCTCATGCTGAATTCAAGACTGTTGTATGTTTATACAGAGTATTTTACTGTCCATACAATTTTTTAACTATCATTTAAACACAATGGTCTAATTATAAAAAAACTTAGTATTTTCCTATTATTAGTCCTTGATATGAAAATATTAAATTTAGTGTATCTTTGCCTTATATAGTGTTAGAAAGTTTGATTTTTGAAACAGCTGTTAGAATTACTGATTAAAATTTAATTAAAATGTTAAATGAATTTTGGGTTGGGAAAAATTCCAATACTTTCTAAAATGGGCCTGAAGACTATTTTCCACTCTGCACCATATATTTGTGCAAAGTGGCGCTATGAATGTTGAAGTTTATAAAATCAGAGTATGACCAATTCTGAAAAACACTGGGGACTCCCCATGCAGTAATACCATCCAAGCAACATGTTTACATATGTAAAAATAAAAAGGCACATCTTTCGGTTGATATTAATATAGAAATATGAGTAGAACAAAAATTTATTTAAAATGTCTTTTAATATTTATTACCAGTAAAAACTGATCTGTATACCAATTTTATATACACATACATTCCGAACTCAGTACTATTTCCTCGGGCAAAGGTGGTTACGTGTGGAAAAAGCTTAAGAAGCCTTAGCCTTGATTGTATTGGTCCTTCTGGGCTCCCTTCATATATACTTAAGAAAAAAAATAATTCGTGTTTTTCTTTTTTTTTTGTATTATTTTATTTTATATATTTATTTATTTATTAAAGATTTCTGTCTCTTCCCCACCACACACTGAGACAATGGGGATGTTCTTTCAGGAACTCACCAAGGCCAGCTGGCCTGGGTCTGAAAAAAGCATGGGATAATTTGTGTTTTTCTAGTTTTAACTCTGTTATGGTGTGTGTGTGTAGTGTATAAAGATATATTTGGTAGTAAAAGAATAAAATCCAGTGTGAGGCTACACCACTCCAGTTAGGGCCACTCTAACTGTATAAAATAAAATAAATTTCATATAAAAATTTTATGGGGGGCTGGAGAGATGGCTCAGTGGTTAAGAGCATTGCCTGCTCTTCCAAAGGTCCTGAGTTCAATTCCCGGCAACCATATGGTGGCTCACAACCATCTGGAATGAGGTCTGGTGCCCTCTTCTGGCCTGCAGACATACATACAGACAGAATATTGTATACATAATAAATAAATAAATAAATATTAAAAAAAAATTTATGGTCACCCTACCAAATTCAATAGTCGAAAACAATTGGAAACATTTAATATATAATTTATTCTGAAGATTATTAATAAACTGGCTTCCCATTCATGAAAATGGCATTATGTATCATGACTTACTTGTACATTATTTTTTAAAAAAATGTTTCATAGCTGAGAATAAAATTGTGTGATGGAAAGTTTTCCTAACATGCCCAAAGCCCTTGGCTTGATGTTAAATAATGTAAGAACAATGTTTTATGTCACTTATAGCATTTGTTTTAGATTGTCTTGTAAAGCAAGGTCTAGATATCTGGGACCCTGGGTTCTGTTGTAAATAGTATAATCTTTTCAAAAAAGATGTATTTATTTACTAGCGTATGTGTGCCTGAATATATGGTGTGCATGTGTCTGAATGCATCTGAGTATATGTGTGTACACGTGTGTATGTGTATGTCTGAGCATATGTATGCACAAGGCCTGAGCGTGAGAACAAGTGCCAGCCAGGGGAGCTAGGACATCTGTGCCCTCTAGACAGCCCCCCTACCCTATAGCATGCCTTCCATTTGCCCCACTGTATTTCAGTTTCTTCTTCCCAAATCTTGTCCACGTAGCAGCTTGAAATACCTTTTATTTGTATTTCTCCGACGTTCAACTTCAAGCCTTTCAAGGAACATACACTGAGTAGTTCCAGGCACAACCAGAGGTTGCACGGTGTGTGTAACTACTGTCCACAAGGACCCTATGGACAACCTCACTGTGTGTAACTGCTGTCCACAAGGACCCTATGGACAACCTCACTGTGTGCCACTTCTGCCCACAAGGACCCTATGGACAACCTCACTGTGTGTAACTACTGTCCACAAGGACCCTATGGACAACCTCACGGTGTAACACTTTTGCCCACAAGGACCCTATAAGACAGTTCATTAGTAATTAGTCTCCCATGAATAAAGACGCAGCTGCCCTAAGAGCTGAGGAGTTCTGACTGCAGCACAAAGTGTGTGCTGAGCCCTCTGCTGTGAGGAGGCCACAGCAGACTCAACCTGCGTGCTGGTAGTGAGCAAGCAATGGCCCTATCAGCTCCCCACATTAAGCTTTGTCGAGCCATGCTGTCTATTAAGCTATAGTGAGTAAACATTACAGATCTGAACCTGTTTGCTACGAAAAGTACCACTTCTATGAATTTATACGGAGGTTTGTACATTGTCTTATTTGAAACACCTCTACCACTAAAATAATGTGAAACCATAGCTCCAGGGAAGGACGGCCGCACAGAAAGGAGCTACAAATACAAAGCATGTGAAAGTGAGAGTGAAAACTTACACCGAAAGAAACAAATTCTTCCTCAAAAGTAAGAACAAAAGCCTTATGTAGAGGGTATAAACTAGGCTTTTAGTTCAAAAGAAAGGTATAATAGGAAGATTTTATCATTTTCTGTGTTTTTCCTTTACAGGTAAGGTAAAAAGGCTGTAAAATGTTCTTACCAGACCCCACACGTACCAGGAGACGGGAATTTCTAGGGATATCTCTAACATGATCACCATTTCCCCCAACTTCCCAGAAACTCCACACTGGTGTTATGTGTAGACAGAGCCAATAAAATGTTGAATGAATAAATAATTAATGAATGAAATATATCTGTAATATCTCTGTTCTATTCAATGACCTTTCACATAAAAATTAATGCAATAACGTGGATGATAATAGAGATTGTAGGAATATATTAGCCAAATGCACAGGTTACCTCCACAGTCATACAAAAATCTGCTTTTTGAGGAAATCTACATGTTCAATACACATATTCTAATACTCAACAGAAGGAGACTTGAATTTCTATGTCATGGTGTAGGTGGGGTGTGGCAGTCAGAGTAGAAAGCTTCAGCCAAAGGGCGAATCCCTTGGCTAACACTGGTTCCACTCAGATACCTACAGTCCGTCACATCACAGATGCCCTCACTAACACTGGTACCACTGAGATGCCTACAGTCTACTATCACAGACAGCAGAAGAGGTCAAGCTCATGTTCCTGTTCTTGGCAGCTTGACCTGGCTCAACAAGCTCCATTTCCCATTCCACTGTCACCGTGCTTCTCTCTCCACGCACCTTGCTAGCACCTATCTCTCAGCTGACACAGACCCCAGGTAGTAGACTGCACCAAAAAGCAACTGCCACCTCCTCTTGGAATATACACCATGTAAACCGACACTGAAACACCTCTTCCTGCACAGCTGAGGTTAGGGACTGGGTCCAGGTCTGCAGTCATTGTTAGAACTGTTTCTGAAGACTCCATCGCTAGTGGTGGAGTAACACTGTAAAAGGCAGACAGCACTTCTAACATCATCGCCACTGCCACACAAAGCTTTTGCTCAAAGTCAAGGTCTTACCATACAGCGTGTGGAACAGTTAATTGCTGGTGACACACCCTAACGCAAGCAATGAAATAAACACTCAAAACACGGGCAAAGAAAGGATTGTAAAATCCTAAGCACTAAGAGCTCAAAAACAGAAGTTTACATATGACACACAACACATAACTCCCCATGTAGATAAGGAAGGGCTGTGCTATAAGGCATCAGTGTAGCTGGCCAACTGTAAGGAGAGTCTGGAGGCTAATGAAGGAGGTGCTCCACTGGAAGAAACTGGGCTCACTAAGGAAATCCATCCCCGCCTTCTCACCTACAAGGAAGCTAAGACTGTTTTGAAAATGTCTGTTTTTGAAAACTTCACTGAGATCAGGAATTACAGACCTTGCCTAACAGGTATCGCCCATCAAGTCCACTAAAGCAGATCAGGACTGAGTTCTGCCAGGCCCCAGCTGACTATGGCGGCACCTCTGACCTCATTACCTGTAGTCACACCACGGGCACCTGTAGGGCTTCTCTCCAGTGTGTACACGCTTATGACGAGTCAAGTGTGATTGGGTTGTAGAGGCAAAGTTACATTCGTCACATTTGAAAGGCTTTTCTCCTGTAACAAGAAATGTATATACATGAATTATAATTGGTCATGAAGAGACTAAGCTTAGTATTAACATACAAAAAGTTTCTATCTATAAAATACTACAGATAATATTCGATGGAGTACAGGAATTCAGGGTCTGTGAAAGCTAAAGGACATTACTGACATACAATTGGCCATTAGGAAAGTATATAGCACAGTGTACAAACAGGACTCTAGGTTATAAGTATAGGCCAGGACTCTGGAATAATTTTATAAACCATGCTACGTTAGTCATTGCAAAAATCTCAGTGAGGTTAAAACATGGCCAATCATACAGTTGAATTTAAGATGGAAAATAATAAATTCCTAGCAATATTTATGAAGAAAAACGAAATGAGGTCATTACTCTAATTAGTGTTAGAAGTAAGAAGAATTATAATTATGGGATAAAAGGTTTGAAGCCTCAACAAAACAAACAAACAAACAAACAATGCAATGTTAATCCCATGCTAAGATGTGTGAATAAACCCTGTAAAGATAGGGCCAGGATGGACAAAAGCGGAGCCTCGGGCTGGCCCGGGACGACAGGTGCCCCCCTCTACCCGCTCTTCCACACTCAGACAGTTTCCCATTTCACTTGCTACACTGGCTGCTGAACAACTGACCCAAGGCTAATTAATTTCAATTAACATAAATTCAATTTGAAACTTAATACAACCCAGCCATTGAAAAATGTTTTATCATGGTTGGAATAGCTTAGAAATGTGAACCTAGTTTTTTAAGTACAACTTTTATCAGAACTATAGATTATATACTTTGGATACAACTTTGTTCTTTGAATTGAAATGTGCTAGAAGCATAAAATGCATGCCAGACATCAAAATCTTAGCACAGAGAGAAAAATAGTGCCTTAAAGCTCATTTTACTAAATATAACCAATTAATCCAATATTACATGCTGAATGGTATAAACTACTTGATTTCCTGATAACAATCAGCTGATAGCACAGATGTAGGTGTATAGTTTGCTCCACTGACAAATATGTCTACTTGAGCGCTCTGACTACGGGAGCTCTGTCCCTTCTCAACCCTGTTTGACTAGTTCAGATTTCTGCATTTTTACAAGAATTCCGAGTTAGTTTTACTGATTTACCAAATGAATCTGCAGGGCTTAACAAGGCAAAGCCTACGTCTTAGCAACAATAGGCCTTCCGATGGTGTCCATGGCACTTTACTCATTTGGGTCTCACCTAATTACAAAAATAAGTGGTTCTAGTCTTCCAGTTTTGTACATCTTCCTGAGACTCCTGAGTAGGATGCCATGTTTAAAACTTAACTGACATGCAGCCTATACAGAATGGACTCAATTTTCTTGTTTGTGCACATATATGCCAAATAATAACAAGACCCAAGGCAGAGGCATAGAAAGCTTTTGCTACCCACATAATGAACCTAAATTATGGAAAAAGCTGTACTTGATCATTGTGGATATTCACAGCTGTGTGCCAGTTCTTCCTCACCTAGGCAGCTTATGAACTTGTAGACTGCTTTCACTTAGACATCTCTTGGCCTTGGGAGACATGGTCACATGACCCACCATTCATATGGCAGGCACATGGAAGGAGGAAAGGTGCTACCACAGACCTTACTAGGTTTGTGCACAAATTAAAGAGCTAAAGAATTTGAAGTTAATTTTCTTGGTTTGGAAGTTCAACATAAGCTTTACAAATCTAATTAATGTAGGTTCTTTCATTTACGCCTTCATGAAATTTCTGGTGATACTTAAAAGTTAAAATCTACATATTTATAAAATGCCTTTAAAATTTCTTAGTCTAATAATTTAGAGTTTACATTAAGCTAGCATTCTATTGGTAAATTAGAGATTTCTATTTCATATTTGCCTTGACACAGATTAAACTGGGTAATAGTAAGTTGTTTTGAATTATATATAAGCTTGCAGGCATATATACAACAAACTTTATGCAAATAATATTATGCATAGAAATACTAAGAAGAAGCCAGGTGCTGGTGGTGCACACCTTTAACCACAGCATTTGGGAAGCAGAGGCAAGCGGATCTCTAAGTTTGAGGCCAGCCTAGCCTACAGAGTGAATTTCAGGACAGCCAGGGCTACACAGAGAAACTCTATCTCAAAAAAATCAAAAAAAAAAAATGCTAAGGAAAAGAGACAGGCCAGACACATCTGATGAGAGGGTACATGCCAACTTATATAAGCTACACTTTATTCAAATATGGTAACCTGAGTTATTATAGTAATTATTTAATGATATAATTCAATGTATAAGTCAACATGACTTAAGACACACACCAGTCTAAACCTCAGACAACACTGAAGTCCCAGCTTGGGTGGTGGAGTCAAAAGGCACCAATAGACCAGTCTATAAACAGAACTGCAAACTAAAGGGGCAGAACAAGGAGAATTTCTGCTGCTCTTGTAACTGTACTCATCAGTCTTCCCCTGTGCAATACAACTTTCCCTACTGGGCTGTTGTTTCATTTCATAAGTGCTTTCCTTTACAAGCACTGATCTCACTCAAAACACCCAGTAAGAAACGCTTCGCCTCGTAGGCCTTCCTGATAGCAAAGGAGGAACAGGGACACCGGGACAGCTTGTTGTGTGTCAGCCATCTGTCAGACTGGAAATCACACTTCCATTCCTTAGGGTGGACTGGTGGTTATTAAGCTGGCTGGGTCTCTCCAACTGCACGTGAGGATTGGTGCCGGTGCCCTTGAATCAAGGGTCTCTGACAGGTGAAAAAAGTAAATCTCGGAATGGAAGATGTTTTGTGTCAGCTCCCTAGACAGCCTGCATTTCAGTCAGGAATTATTTACGCCATGTGGAACACTTTGGGTACCTATCCCTTTCTGAACCGCTTGTAATTTGCCTGGACACTGTGGTAAAAAGGTAAACCATGTCAAAGACAGGCACATCAAAGAAATACAGATTTCAAATGTACCATCAGGTCTAGCCCTGGGGAAAAAAGTGTGTGTTGCTTAAACATTTTAAGTCCGACATAAAAGCTAAGTGCCTAGACTGAGTTGGACTGAGTGGTTTGTGGGGGCCAAGTCTTTTAAGAACTGACTTTGGTATTAAAGAATCATGTTTGATTTGTGCCACAGAGGCAGATAACTGCCAGAAAGACAGATACCTCTGTCTCTGAGACATTGTCCTATATGGTATAAAGTTAATAGCAAAGTAATAAGGAGCCTCTGGACCTGACATAAAATATAAAGTTGTGCCAGCTCGATGTAGGCTTCCTGATCGATCCATCACCTGGACGTCTGTGATCGCAGCATTACTGCCTCCACTGCAGGGCAAAGGGGAAGACTACCACTGGAGGGGTAGCACAAGGAGGCCTGTTCTCCCCTGTAGCCACACAGGATCGAACAGGAAGGCAAAAATGCCATGTAAATCAAAACTTTCAGTTATCAATAAGCTGAAAACATGAACAAAAAATCTTATAGCTGCATGGTTTCTGCACAAATATTCAACTCTCTCTCCATTTGCCGTATGAACCCACGTGGCATCCACACAGTCTACCTTACAGAGAATCCTTACATAGGAATTTTACAATGAATGGACATGTGTTTTCAACCTGCTAAAATTCGAAAATTTACCCTCATCTTAATGGTTTTTATCCCTATAGAAATTTCATCCTGATAAACTCAAGATTTAAAAGCAAAGAGCAAAGAGTGGGATTCATTTCCATTGATCCTGGAAATATTATATTGAGTAATGAAGCTGCCTGTATCTGTATAGCATGGCATTTCAAGAATCCAAATGGTCATAAGTAATGTACTTAAATTCTCTTCTTTGTTCCCAATAATTTCATTCACATAATGAGAGGTAGGGTTGTATATACTCTTGGCTTCACCCTGATTCCCACACAGCACCCCAACAAGTCTTCCTCCAACTTTATGTCTTTTGTTTTTTAAAATAACCTCCTAAGTCCGGTTAGAGATGCTGAGGTGTGCACGGTATGAGGCCATCTGCTGGAGCACAGATGGAGTTCATCCAGGGGCCACACCCTCAGAGGGCTCTCTCCTCAGTAAGAGGTGAGCCGAGGGTTTTCCCACCACAGGACTGTCAAACTCTGAATCATGGGAAGGAGCATCATGGCCAGGCTACCCTCCATGTCCACGTTTATCTCTCCTGTTGTGTCTGAACCAAGAGAATAACCGCGACAGCACCAAATCCCCATCACACTGACCTACAGGCTGACTGATAAATACAGGGGCAGGCAGACAGACAGAGGGGAATGAGCAAGTGAGCAATGGGCAGTAGGAGAGGGCCCGACATGAGCTCTCCGGGACACAAGCAGAAGGCTAAGATACAGTTTTGCAGACAGATATCAAATAGCCTCAAATATCTGGCCTTGGGTAACTTGGTTGTTTTTACCCACTTAAGATGAAGCTCATGAGGATATCTGAAGCCATACATATACAGGTAGTCATTTGTATATCCCTTTAAGAGGATAACAAGAGAGAATCTAACTTCTACATACCCTGTGTTTGTATGTGATGCCTATAGAAATTTTCATTTGCAAAAACCTAGAATAAAGAGGAAGCAAGCTATGAGGCTAATGGTGCTTGGGTATCTAACACCTTGCCTCGTGTCTACAGAGAGAAGCCAGGAGCAGACTCAGTACTGACCTGTGTGCTGCCGGCGGTGTTTGGTGAGGGCGTGTCGGGTCCCACCGGCAAAGCCGCAGAGGTCACAGAGAAACGACTTCTCGCCTGTTGCAACAATAAACAGATGAGGGACTGTGGAGGTCACAGATCATTAAAACATATCTATCAAGGCTTTCAGGGTTACTAATTCCTCCAATCAAATGTTTCCATGTAAATATGTCAAATGGGAATGAAATTACTACTGCGGTTTATTGACTGTGATAAAATCTGAAAAGCACCACTGAACATAATTACATACTTGTCAGACCCATAAAAATTAGCTTTATTATCAATGGAATGGCTTTGTACAACTTCATTTCTGGTAGATGTCTTCCAGATGGGGCTGCTTTATGCACTTCAACAGTTTTTATGCATATCCTGATTTTTTACAATTCCCATACATCTGGCCTTTCTGAGCTGAGTAAAGATTGCTTGGAATAGTTAATATACAGTATATATAACTGTTTAAATAAAATATATTGAATTTTTTAATAACCTAAGAACACTGAATTGGTTTTACCTGATTCCATCAGGATCTTCTTTAATCACCTTATACTTAATAATTTGAATTAAATGGTTTCTTTGAATAGACTGGGGATCCAAAGAAAATCAAACTCACATTACCAGGAGATACTCAATGCTGTTTGTGTTTCCTGAATTTTATGGCATAAAAAAAAAGTCCAAGGATTGGTAAAAATCACCTATAACAATTCCTACCCCCATATTCCAGTGATAGCTCTGGCCTGGAAACTTCTGCGGAATCAAAGGCGTATTTAGCAGATGTGGGCTGGCTAACTGTGCAAACGGCTATTTTCTGAGCATTTTACACATGCTGCTTTCTTGACCTATAGGCTATAAGTACTATATATCATTCTACTGCAGCAATTTGGCCAGCCAGTGCTGGCTAGCTAGACAATTCATCCCATAAGACTCACAAGGAAGGCAAAACAATACAAATGCAGACTTTGGGGAAATTAATGAAATTATAAAAGACTTTTCCAGGAATAAAGTAAATCATTTGTATCCATCTTTATTGACTTTAGTCTTTCAGACTTTATAGTGACAAGTTTCCCATAATAGGCCTGCTTTACTCCATATTTGGGGTTTCACAAAAAATTTAGTTGGCAATCCGTTTGCAAACACTGACTGTATTTCTAAGGTTAAAAAAAAACAAAACAAAAGAAAATAGCTGTAGCAATAAAAAGAGTAACCCTTCACTTAAGAGTGTTTCTAGTTTTCCTAACTTAAAGGAAAAACATGAAGAAGCCCTTAACCAGTATAGAAAAGATAGAGTAGATGGGCTGTGAAGAATAAAGTTCAATTATAATCACTCATCTAATTATTTAATCAATTTAAAATATAAATCTTTTTAACTTGCTGTGTTATCAACTAAATAACACTGAAGTGCCCCTTTTTAAACTAAAATACCAATTTGTTTCTAAATATTAGCATTTTTTAAATGTGGTGGCAAAACAACTCTCTCCAATGTCCTCTCCCCAGCTCTGCAGGCAGTTCTGCGTGTGCGGGCCGAGAACAGCTGTCCTCACACATGCAGAGGCATGAGGACTACAGTGGAGAAATGCGGTTTGCCGTGTGCACACATGCACATGCATGCTATGAAGGGGAAGGGCAATGGCTCGTGAGCAGTGAGCATCCCCCGTTCCAGACAAGCAAGCTACCATTCTTCTGTCTATGAAACCTTGTGACCTGTTTCTCTTTTACAAAATAAATGTGTTAATAAGCACAGGAGAAAATACAGAATTTACCATTCTCTCCATGCGTTCATGCTGCACATAATAAAGTTTCCCCCCTGTCCTAATCTATGGTATACGCACATGAAAAGGTGAAATTATTCATTTTCCAGATGATTTCATTCTGGATACATTTGTGACCTTGATTTTTTCCATGTGTGGATTTTATCTAAGGTGGTAGTCTCAGGTGTGTTGTATGTCATATTTACCTTGGTGGCTTGATTTGTTTTCAAATTCAATTTTTACTTGCTTTTTTTTTAAGGGGGGAAAGTGGAGGGGGGTAACTGATGAACAGTGGGCCAAGAGTTTTTTTTTTTTTTTGAGAAAAGAAATTAAGGAATTTCTCAATGAGATATTTTACCCAACCAAGAAGGGGTTCGTTTTACATGTCATATTTAAATGATAACAGAGATTTAATGGAAGACTTCTTTTAATAACAACCTGAAATAGTTTCAAATGTGCCATTTTGCATTCAAACATAGAAAGCCACGGAAGCAATCCTTTATTTTCTAATAGAAAACAGCCACTGTCCCCTATCTCTCATTATGGTGCAGACTACAAGACCTAACAACAAAAATCCATAGTATTGATCCAGCCAAGTCTCCACAATTATTCTTTAGAAGGAAACGCCGACGATAAATTACATCTGCACTGGCTTTTCATCTGCTGTTCGATATAAGTGATCTCTCAGGGCAGGCTGGAGACCTTAAATCGTCAACACCCTTGTCAAGGAAGCTAAGGAGGCCTGGGCTTCCCACAGACTGCTTCAGGAGAACTTTCAACCTATAATTTCTAACAATAATACAGGATTCACAACAATCAGAAGAACATTTCTGAATGCTGATTAAACTTTATTCTTCTTCTCCTACAGGGAATCTATTCTGAGTAGGGCAAAGAGAAAGCAGGCCACAAAAACACTAAGTAGTTGACGGTGTCCCATAGTGATGGGGGTGAGCACTCACACAAGAGACACCATGAGTACTGGGCCCACTGTACGAAGACTATCAAAAGTTTGTCACAAACTAAGCACCTGGCCACAGGGCATGATGGGATATGTAACCTCAGACCATACTCCACTGAATCTCAAGATGGCTAAGTTACATTACATGTGGTTGTTATTAACGTGAAAACTTTATGTGAATGTGCACTTCGAAAAACAGTTTTCTGAAGACATCTAGTAATTCAATTCTGATTAGCCTCTGCATTTTAAGAACTCTAGGGTATGACATGATTCTTTCTTGAAGGAGATATTACACTGCCCATAGTTAGGGAAGGGTACATAAAACTAAGATTCAGTGTGTTTAAACATTAGGGATTTAGCTTATATCTATAGTGAAACAGAAGACCAGTTCCTTTAAAAACATAATATGCCAGTGATGAAGGTCACGGCTAAGAAACTGACTTTGAACACAAACATCAGAAATGAGCTGTCAGATCTAAACCTGAGCTGCGTGAAGACATGCACACATACACACACTAAATTTTCACATTAAAGACACTCTGACCAACTGCGGAGGGAAGAATGCAAACCATTTCATATGCAATCACCACTACCTTAATTTCAAATGCAATTACCATGACCTCTGCAAGGAAGTCACGTTTAACACGGGCTGCTATCAAGAACGCCAATGCACATGTAGCCGTCCCCTGCCCAGTCCCTGATTTACAAGGGGTGTGGCACACCTGTGTGCGTCCTGTAGTGGTCTTTCATCGCCGAGGCCGTGAGGAATGAGTAGTGACATGTGGGCCAGGTGCACTTAAAAGGCTTTTCTCCTGTGTGGAGTTTCATGTGGTTGTTCAAGGCCCACTTCTCTGTGAAACTTCTATCACATAAGTGGCATGTAAATTTCCTGCATGAAGGAGAGAAAACAACGTAAATTCGAGCTGCACACTCACATCGATGAGCCCAGAGACCGTATGTGGTAACCCTCAAGTGCGGACCACACGGCCTCTGCAAAGGGAACTGCAGGCTGGCTCTGTCATGTCTGTATAACCAGGCATTGATTTTTCTGTCGAGGCCTGGCACTTCAGCCATTTATTCTCTGCTTTGCGGTTGGGCCCAACGGGTTTGAAAAATTCTGTTACAGTCCAGTCACCCCTGAGGCAAAAGTGAGAATAGATTTCACCTGTACAGGCCTACACCACTTATCCAGGGCATGGGCTGTCAGAGCAAAGGCTAAATGAAATGCTATCCATACTCAAGCACTCAGACAAGCTCTGCTGTCTGCCAGGAGGGCGGCTGTGCGGTTCCAGCAGTGACTCCTGAGAGCAGCCTGGAGCCATGCATCACCATGCTCCTTGGGGATGAAAGGAGACCCCACGACCCCCCAAAATGGCTACTGAATGAAAAGTCCCTCTGGGTTGGTGACACGGGTACATAAGGTTTTTTTTTGTTTTTTTTTTTTTTTGTTTTTTTTTTTGACAAAAACAAGTCTGCAGCCACACTAGCCCAAACACATTCTATCTCTTCTGATCTCAGTAGTGAAGCAAGGTCAGGCCTGCGAAGAACTTAGATGGTAAACAAAATTAAGCATTACAACTACATATTGTTCTAAAATGAGACTGAGAAAGAAAAAACACAAGTTTCTCCTGTACAAAAACAAACTGAAAAACAAGAGTCCAATATATCTTTAAGAAAATATTTCAAATTTCTCCTTCAGTTTTAAATCTTCCAGAAAGAGGTAAAGACGGAGAACCATGAGCAAACCCATACCTCTTCTACCCCATTCCACTTGCAGTTATGAATTCATCTCTAAAATTTACTTCCTGTTTCTGATGAAATTAAGTCTTAAGTATCACTGAGAACAATTGTGTTCAACAAATTAATTCAGGATAATGAACAATCAAATAAGAGAACATGCTTCTTAAGAGTCAAAATTAAAATTACACAATTTTAGAACGCTGAAAGCATTATACCAGAAAGCAGAGACCAAGGAGAAAAACACAGAAACTAATGGCTAAGTCTCACATTATCAGTACAGGGCATAGGAAAGGCATACTTTCACACAGTCATTAGCCATGATATCAATTCCTACAGTTCTGTCAGAAGAGGCAAAGAATCTTAAACGATAAAGAACTGACCCTTCCAATTTGATCTTAGATGTAACAAATCAATGAAACCCCATAAATGCTGGGAATCCAGTCATAAATCAACAGCTTTCCTTTACTACATATATTTACAAAGCAATGCTATGCGTGTAAAATATGTAAGAAACAAACGAACGAATCTTTAAGTAATGGCATAGCATGTTTAAAGGGCTTCATTCGTTAACAGCAAACTGCCAGTTTCCTTCTTCCTGCTCCACATGTGAGGAGCCACTGTCTGCACAGTGAACACAGGCTGACTTTGAAATCGCTGTATCATTTGATCACTGCTGACTCTTACTAGAGAATGACATATATAACTAAATACCTTGAAATGCACTGCAAAAAATATCATGTCCGTATATCTCTTTGACGGGTCTTCACGCATTTCGTATTTCAAAACCATGACAGGGATCTTATTTCTAAGATAAATTCCCCTATCTACTTATTTCTCCATGTATTTATTGTGGAACTAACCTTCTCTTACAAGAAATAAATAAGGAGGTTAAGTAGATGCTATCTTTAACAAATAGTTTCTCCAGACTGTATTACAACTTTATGAATGACAAAATAAATCCCTCAGTTTTAAATCTACCACGATGTGCATTTAACAAAATTACATCTACACAACCTCGATGTGCACTGTCTATTATTCATACATAATAAAAATGTTAGACTAAAGCTCAGTGCCTGTCGAGAAAGGACAAAAGCCAGATTAAAGAAAAGAAAGGGTACTCAAACTACCACAGGACTTTCTGGACACTGTGCATTCTGCATCCTTTTTATGGATATAAGGAAGTTCAGTCACGGGCAAAGGAAAGCGTGGACACATCGCCAGCGCAGGGTGCACTTCCAAAGACTGGGGCCTATTGGCAAGGCTTCTGTCGCCTACAATGACATGAGTTCTGTGTCACATCTTCCAGGATCCCTTGTTTCAGGTCAATGAGATGTCAATGAGAACTGTGGCCCTGGGAGGACCCTTGCTCGTCATGGACCTTTGGGAGCCCTGAGGAAGCACGAGCAGGAGAGCAGAAACCACTCTGCAGCAAGACCTGAAACTGAAGGACCACAGGGTGCATCCAGGAGCCTCTTAGAAAGACATGGCATCCTGTAGTCTATGAACACTGCTCTGCAGAGTACATAGAAATCAGAAAAAGAGGAAGATTTGGGTGTCAAGAAAATCTGCTGATGCTGATAAGGGAGAAAAAGTAAAAGCCACTAGAGATTAAAAAGAAGAGCAAGCAAGGGGCAGGGCAGATTGGAGAGGGCACATCACTCACACACAGAAAGACGGGTAAAAACAGAGAAGAGATGCTTGAGGAGGAATGCAGGAAGCAGGAAGGGCAGAAGAAAACTCCTGAACTGGGAAAAGGTGCGACAGAGCCCTGAAGGGACAACACACACACCTGTGGCCCTCCAAATCCCGCCGGACACCAGAGCAAGGACACAGCCCAGTAACTTTGCTATGCAGGGTTACAGAAGACATATTTTCTAACATAATTTAAAGAGAGATTCAACTTGGAAAAACTCATGATGAAGGTTAGTACTTAGTAGAAAGAAGGATGAAGGTGAGTAACGGGTCTTCACAAACAGGTCCAACCTCGAAGACGGAATTCCATGAGCACAGAAGACAACGGGATTGCATCTGCTTCACCCTCTCAAGGCAGAAAGACAATGCAGGAGGCTCACGGGAATTTTGAGGGAAGTTATTTCAAACATAGACTCCTTTAGCAATCCCTGTGAAGACACACACATCTGCACTCTAAAGTTCTTAGGTAAGAAACCCATGATGCTAAAACTGTCTGCAATTAAGCCCTTGCCCTAGTGGGAAACAGTGAACTGAAAGTCCATTAAGGGTTCATCTGTATGAACTTACAAGGATTCCGAAGTGGAACAGGGTTTCCAACCATTCGTCCAGTGTTACTGTACAGAAGAGGCCTACCACTAACAACTGTGTGTGCTGTCCCCTTAGCTACCTGTTGAAACAGAGGGGAAGGCTCTGGTCCTCTGCCACACTAAGAGACCACAGTAAGGAGAAGAGGTTGACATGTACCCACAGATCCCTTCCAACGGTTTCTTCTTGTATGATTTGTGTTAGCTGAACCAAGAGCAAAGTCTACACTTCAACACTTAATCTCAAGAGGGAATACTAACTAGCCTCATTATCAGCTATATAACAAAAACTAAAATTTCTCATTGGGATGCATCTTGTACAAAGTTAAGGAATTAATAGTGAGCTAAAATGTGTTATATAACTAACCTTTACATGTGTTGTGACCTTACACAATTTTTGAGCATTTGCTTGGTTCTGAATGGATAAACAAGAGAAATGTTATATCAAAACCCAAATGTGAACTTTGATTTACTTTTATAGCTTTCCAAATTACTAAAGTCAGGATTCTAAAAGGAAATTTTAAATTCATCTTCTTCAGATTAAAACTTTAAATGCCATTAAAAAGTTTAATTCCAAGCTAGTAGACTGTACTTATTAGAAACTTAATAGAAATGTACACACATCTCATTTCTAAATGAAGATAAAAGCGTCCTGTATTATCTGCCTCTTTAAACACATCCGAGGCCTGGTGGCCATGGCACATGCCTTTACTCCCGGCATTCAGTAGGCAGAGGCAGGCGGATCTCTGAATGAGGCCAGGCTGGTCTACAGAGTGAGTTCCATGACAGCCAGGACTGCACAGAGAAACCTTGTCTTGAAAAAGCAAAAATAAAACAGATAAGAGAATCACTCTAGCTGTGAGGTGATGTCACACGCCTTTAAGCCCTGCACTCGGGGGGCAGAGACAGGTGGATCTCTATAAATTCGAGGCCAGCCTGGTCTACAGAGTGAATCCAGCCAGGCTAGCCAACGCTACACAGTGAGAGCCTATCTTGAAAATAAACAAATAAACAAGAAAAAAAAATAAGGCAGGCTATCACTATTTTTTCTGAAGTTTTGAATCTGTTTCGGTCAGGATAATCTTGTAATGATTAATTGTCACTTAATTTAATATTGAGCTTGTTATAACCCTACTTTTATACTGGAGGATCTAACAGATACATCTAAGACATACTTGTATACATAAAGTTATATAATATAAATTCATCTATTGAAGTTTCAACAGGCTTAAGGGGATGGTTAGACTTAATCACAAGATGGATATCATTATGCTATGAAAATGAGTAAGTTCTGGCTCTACTTACCAAGACAGATTTAAAAATTTCAATGTCACACCTACATTAAAAACAAGTTAGAGGGCTGGGAGGATGACTCAATGATTAAGAACGTTTGTAGCTCTTGCAGAAAACCTGGGTTCAGTTTTCAGGACCAACATGGAGGCTCATAAAAATCCGTAACTGCAGCTCCAGGGAATCTGATGACTTTGACTTCCACAAGCACCGGGCTTACACATGGCTCACATACAAGCATGCTGGCAAAACACTCACACGCATAAAATAAATTATTAAAAATTAACTTTAAAAGATGCACCATTGGCACAAAATCTTACGAATGAAGCTCACATGCAGAAACTGTACGACACTCTAATTTGACACTGCTTCTCTCTACCTTGAAAAAAGGAAGGAAGAGGGCGGTGGATGAGCACAACCACATAGCTAACTTTTGTCGTTTACCAAAAGAAAAGAATCTGGAGCAAACAGACTACAGTTACCTCTTCCAAAGTATGTCCTATACGTTCAAATTTGTTATAATTTGATCATTTAATAAAACAATCAAACAATAATTCTTATTTCTTCTACATGACACTTTGAT